TTGGACTTGCCACCTTGTAAGGCTTTCTTACAATCAACATTAGCATTTTCACTGGCCAATTTTTGAAGGCGTATTTCAGCTGCTTTTGAATCAGAAATGCTCCTTTGTATGGCTTGCCTAAGTCGGGCTACAAAATCTGGGAAAGTTTCTTGGGGCCTTGCTTTATCTGAGTATACGAGGCTCCCCTATCTTGTTTCCCAGGAACCTTTAACCATGCCGCCCGTGCAGCCTTCGTAATTTGTTCATATGCTACAAGTGGATAATCTAGCGGTTGCTGCAGTGCAGTAAACATTCCTGTCCCTGTGAGCTGCTCCAAAGAAACAGGAATCAATGTTCTTGTATTGTATCCTGCCTGCTCTTGGCATTGCTCAATAAATTCTGATTTCCATATTAGATAATCTCCTGGCTCCAAACATGTTTTTGCTAATGAATACCAATCATATGGGGCCATGGCTGTATTAGCTATTGAATCTAATAAAGTTTGTACATAGGGACTGTTTGGCCCATATTGTACTGAGGCTTGTTTTAATTCTCTTAAAACTTTGAATTCAAAATTCCTATGTTCCCTAATCATCTGTCCAGGATTATCTGGATTCTCTTCTTCATATAGTGGAAACATCATGCTTTTTGGGATAGCTAATTTTAAGTCCATAGGCACTTCTTCCCCTCTGCTTTCTGCCCTTTGTATTGTCTCTTCTAACAAGCCCTTACATATTAACTTTCTCCCAGGCTGTTGTTTAACTGAAGGTAAATACACATCTTTCTGTTGCTTAGGGGAATGAACATTTCTCTGTTGTATAACAGAATATGCATCTTCCCTCTCCTCTTCAACTATGCTCAATTGTTCCTCAAAGGCTTTATGCATTTCTTCTTCCTCATCTGTTCCTACCCTTATCTGCCCATCACTTTCTCAGCCACTAGTACTTTATCCGGGGCGTAAGACATATTTTTAGCACATTCCACATTAAAAAGGTAGCAATCGAGAATGCACCAGAGCCCTCTTCTCTGTAATATTCTCTTAGTTGCTTGCCTACAATCTCCCATTTCTCTAAATCAATTGTCCCTTCTTGTGGAAACCATGGGCAGCATTTTTCTATAACTTCTAAAAATTCCTGTAACTGACTGTTTGGAATAACTAAACCTTTTTCTTTCACTATTTTCTTTAGTAATCTTAGGTAATACTCTCTATCTCTTTTTCCACTGTGTACTTGACCCATACTTTTGATCTTAAGGGCACCTCTTAAGATCGAAAGAATATATGTGGGCCTTTCCAAAGCGACACTATATCTTATGCTCTAAATACTGAGCCTGTTTCTAAACTTTTTTCTAATCAATTTTTTTTTTTATTTTATAATCTCCCACGTAAGCCTGGTGATTTTTTCCCCCTCTTAATCCTATTATTTCTATGGGGAAACCTGTAATGACCCTCATTCCGTTTTACCTTAGTACCACGGCATCGAGCCACTTCAGGACCTTGTTTCCTGGTGTAGTGACCAGCAAGGATTTCTTTTCCTCCGGAGCTTTTTTTTTCAAGGAACCGTCCTCTCTCTGACTTTTTGTCACTGTTCGATGCATCAATGTGTTGCCCGCAACCAGACTGTACACCGAACGGAGAGGTGTGAAATAACTTATGACATGGGCCAGGCGGAGTAGAATTACTGACTCAGTTTATTCATCTGAGGGCACAAAATATATACGGAAGATCTAGCCTAACTTCAAAGAGTCCTTCCCGTCAGATACTCCCCAGAACATCTGCTGAGGATGTGACAATCATGAATTTCCTCCTTATCAGGGTTCCTAGATTGGGCTGTAGATTCCAAGGTTTTCCCAGGCACCTTGGCACCACCTGCACAGAGAAGTGAATATGTAAATCTAAGGTTCAAAGAGAGAGAAGGAATGTCTCAGAGACCTCTTAATCAGGAAGGAACTGGGGAGCCGTACCACTTAATCAGCGAGCCCTTTTGGGTAAAAGCCTGAGCAGAGGTCAAACTCTGCCTTGGATCTTAAATCCTTATCAGACTCTTAAGATCGGCCCTGAACATCTCCCTTTCCCTTTTTTCCAGTACATTCCTCTCTCACCCCTTAATTTTATTTTTTTAGATATCATCCCTTCATATTCAACTCACATCTCTGCCCTCTATCTATATATACTCCTTCTAACTGTCCTAATAATGAGAAAATTCTTATGAGTTACAAGTATCATCTTCCCATGTAGGAATATTAACAGTTTAACCTGAAGTCTCTTATGATTTCCCTTTCCTGTTTACCTTTTTATGCTTCTCTTGAGTCCTATATTTGAAAGTCACATTCAGCTCTGGTCTTTTCATCAAGAATGCTTGAAAATCCTCTCTTTCTTTCTTTCTTTCTTTCTTTCTTTCTTTCTTTCTTTCTTTCTTTCTTTCTTTCTTTCTTTCTTTCTTTCGCAATTGGGGCTAAGTAACTTGCCCAGGGTCACACAGCTAGTAAGTGTCAAGTGCTTGGTCTGAGGCCAGATTTGAACTCAGGTCTTCCTGACTTCAGGGCCAGTGCTCTATCCACTGCACCACCTACCTGCCCCCAACGTCCTCTATTTCATTGAATATCCATTTTTCCCTGGAATGATTATACTCAGTTTTGCTGGGTATGTGATTCTTAGTTGTAATCCTAGCTCCTTTGCCCTCTGTAATATCATATTCCAAGTCCTCTGATCCTTTAATGTAAAAGCTGCTAAATTTTGTGTTACCCTGACTATGGCTCCACTATACTTGAATTGTTTCTTTCTGTCTACTTGCAGTATTTTCTCCTTGACCTGGGAGCTCTGGAATTTGGCTATAATATTCCTGGGAGTTTTCATTTTGGGATCTCTTTCAGGAGGTGATTGGTGGATTCTTTCAATATCTATTTTACCCTCTGGTTCTAGAATATCTGGGCAGTTTCCCTTGATAATTTCTTTTGTGTTTGTTAGTTTGTTTGGTTTTTTTAGGCAATTGGGGTTAAGTGACTTGCATAGGGTCCCACAGCTAGTAAGTGTCAAGTGTTTGGTCTGAGGCCGGACTTGAACTCAGGTCCTCCTGACTTCAGGGCCAGTGCTCTATCCACTGCTCTACCTAGCTGCTCTGATAATTTCTTGGAAGATGATGTCTAAGCTCTTGTTTTGATCATGGCTTTCAGGTAATCCAATAATTTAAAAATTATCTCTCCTGGATTTATTTTCCAGGTCAGTTGTTTTTCCAGTGAGATATTTCATGTTGTCTTCTATTTTTTTTCATTCTTTAGGTTTTACTTTATGATTTCTTGATTTCTCATAAAGTCATTAGCTTCCATTTGCTCAATTCCAATTTTTAAGGAATTCTTTTTTTTAGTGAGCTTTTGTACCTCCTTTTCCATTTGGCCAATTCTACTTTTTAAAGAGTTTTTTCTTCAGTAAATTTTTGTGCCTCTTTTTCCAGTTGGCCTATTCTGCTTTTTAAGGCATTCTTCTCCTTATTTGCTTTTTGTACCTCTTTCATTATTTGGACTAGTCTGTTTTTTAAGGTGTTATTTTCTTCCATATTTTCTTGTGTCTCCTTTACCAAGCTGTTGACTCTTTTTTCATGATTTTCTTGCATCACTCTCATTTCTCTTCTCATTTTTTCCTCTACCTCTCTTACTTGATTTTCAAAATCCTTTTTGAGCTCTTCCACAGCCTGAGACCAATTCATATTTGCCTTGGAGTCTTTGGATGTAGGAGCTTTGACTTTATATTCTTCCGAGTGTGTATTCTGATCTTCCTCATCCCCATAGTAACTTCAATAGTCAGAGTTGTTGGGTTTTTTTTCCTGTTGTTTGCTCATTTCCCCAGTCTATTTTTTGAATTTTAACTCTCTGTTTTATCCTAACTGATTATCCTAACTGGCAGGTCTGCGCATGTTACCTTCCTGTTACCTCTAGGATCAAATAGAAAATCCTCTGCTGGGCAAGAAAAGCCCTTCCTAACCTGGCTCCTTCTCCCCATGGCATTTTTTTAAGCTTGACTTCTCTCTACATGCTCCAAAATCTGGTGACACTGGCCTCCTTACTGTTCTTTGCACAAGAGGCTCTGTGCCACTCAGCTCCAATGCCCCTTTCTGCTGGGCTCCTTTTCCCAGTGCGCCCTCTGAGGTGACCATCCTTTAACCCTCTATGAGTCTTATGGGTAATTATCTGAAACAGTTTTCTCTATTTGAGTGTGGGCTCCTGGAGAGCACGGACATGTTTTTACCTTTTTTGTGTCCCCACAAATGAAAATTTTATGTCCCCACTTTTATGGCGACAAAGTCCCTAGAACAGTGGCTGGCACTTTTTTTCTTATTCAGTTATGTCAGATTCTCTGTCACCCCTTTTTGGGGTTTTCTTGGCAAAGATACTGGAGCGGTTTGCCATTTCCTTCTCCAGCTCATTTTACAGATGAGGAAACTGAGGCAAACAGGGTTAAATGACTTGCCCAGGGTCACACAGCTAGTGAAGGTCTGAGACTGGATATGAACCCAGGTCTTCCTGACTCCAGGCTCAGCCCTCTATCCACTGAGCCACTTAGGAAGCACTTAATAAATGCTTATTCACTGCTGCCTGAAACCACAGCCCTGTTCCTTCATGAACATCAGCTAGTATTTATTGATGAGACTGATACTTGTTCTTGTGACCCAGGGCAAGTCGATTAGCATCCCTGGGCCTCAGTTTCCCCATCTGCACATAAGGGGTTTGGTCTGCTTCGGCATTGGACACACGGATGCTGATGCTCTGATAATTGTTTAGTAATCAGCTATGACCGCACAGCTCAGACTCCGCAGAGAACAGAGAGAGAAGACAGAGACAGAAAGCACCAGGGATAGCACAGGTGCAGATCAGTGAAAACTAACGAGACGTGAATCATCCCGGCCTCCTAGAGAGGCTCCGTCAAATTCTCGCAGGGGGCGGGGCCTACCGTCACTTCCGGTTCCTCGTACTCGTCTTTCCCAGCTCCGTACCTCGGCTTTGGACTTGCTTGAGGGTAACGGGCTCGCTCCTTCCTCTCTGCCCCATTGCCCCCGCGATGTCCGCGCACCTGGTGGGGCACCACAGAGGCAGGGCGCTGCCCTCAGAGCAGTGAGTGTCCGGATCAGGGGAAGGGATGGCTGCGGGAGATGGCCCCCAGGGAAGGGCCGGCGCCCGCCTCGGTGAGACTTCCCGGGGCGGCACCGAGGACAGGCGTAGAGTCAGGTGGCCAGCCGCGCTGACCGGTGCTGGCTGGAGTGTGGAACGGCCACGAGCCAGCCGGGACCCCAGGGCACGTGGAAGGGCCTCGCTTGGCAACTTTCTTACGCCCGGAGCGGTTTAAGCCGATTTTAGGACATGGTGCTTTTCAGGGGCCAGCGGAGATCATCCGGACCTGTGTATGATGCCGCCACACCCTCCTCCGCAGCAGCGCAGCCAAGGAAACCAGGCTTAGGGCCCCGCGGGCAGTTCCCTTAGTACGGGGTACAGCTTGTCCGCGTGCGTCCACACGTACGCGGAGCGCCCACACCGATCACCTGCAGCTAGGAAACTGAGCCCTTGGTTGTAGGTGGAGGGTGTGGCCTAAAGGGCCTTTAGAGTGCCTTGCTAAACTGAATATACAATCCTGTGTTCTTGACGGTAGAAACCCTGTCAGATTTAGATCCAGAATCATAACAGTTTAGAGCTCAAAAGAATGAGTTCTAAATAATCTCGAAGGCCATTTCCAACTCTGGCCAGCACAACCCAACAAGCTATAACTTTATATAAACTATAAAAGGACGTTCTAGACCAAACCCCTAATTTTGCTGATGAGGAAACTAAGCTCTAGAAAGCTTAAGTTTTGATTGGCTATATTTCCACCTTGCATGGCTAGGTGCTGAATAAATGTTTATTGAATAAATGAACCAATGCATAAACTGTTGTACTTCTTAGTTTTCCATTTAACAGCTCATCAAGGGATGGCTTAGGGCAGCTAGGTGCTATAGTGGGATAGAATGTTGTACTTGACTTTGAATCCTGCTTCAGCTGTGTGACCCTGGGCAAGTCACTAAACTTGTAAAATGGGAATAATAACAGTGCCTACCTACCCTGTAAGACTGTTGCTATTATTATTTGTTCTAGTTGCATACTACTTTACTAGAACTATGTAATTCACATAGCAGTTAAATTTTTTTCCATTTTAATAGGGTGACTTTGCATACTTTAAGAATATCTAATTGCATAGATCTGGGTATTTCTTCCAGTGACACAGATCAGAACTCCAGGCAGTTTCAGGAGTTTAAGGACTTTCAGTGTCTGGGGGGGAAAAAATCACCTCTTGCATAGCCCTTCAGTAATGAAGGTTGGTTCTCTGGAAGATAAATGTACAATTGGTCCTTTGGCTTACTCTCACATCCTTTCTATCCTAAAACCTGCCAGATGTGCTGTGTTGGTATGGCCTTTGAGAATCTGGGGGCACTTCCATGCCATGTTGAGATTTTGAAGTAGAACTTTGGTGGACCATAGTGACACATAATTTAGATCATAGAAGGGAAATGAGAAAACTTGCTCTGATCCAAAACAGTAGACTTAATTTCATAGAAATAAATGTCAAGGCCTGCACAGATTAAAAAAAATTATCTTAATAAGTACAAAGTGGGAAAAAAAGACAATAAAAAAGTTCATGTGAAAAAACTGTGGGAATGTTAAATCGGTCACAAAATCATTAGATGGCAAGAGTGCTACATAGCAGCTAAAAAAGCTAAAATGCAATGTTAGGCTGCATGAGAGAAACATAGTCACCTGGACAGGTAATCCAACTGTACTTCACTTGAGACAGACGTATCTGTAGTATTGTGTCTAGTTCTAGGTACCATGTTTTAGGAAGGCCAGTGATAAGCTGGAGCATTCTGAATAGGGTGATGACTTTGGTGAGGGGACAGGAAACCATGGAATAGGAAGATTTTTCTTTAGGAACTGGGAATGTTTACTGAACAGAAAACTTAGTAGGACATCATAGTTTTCAGTTCTTTGAAAAACTTTTATCTGAAATAGAGATGAAACTTTTTCTACAGAAGTAAATTTAGTTTTAATATATGGAAAAACATCCATGATTTGTGCAGTTCATAAGTAGGATAACTTGCTTTAGGGAAGTAGACAATTCCTCATCCCTAGAGATCTTCAAGCAAGAGACTGGATGATCACTTGTTGAAAACCTTTAAGAAGAGAGTCCTGTTCAGCTACAGATTGTACCAGATAAACTCTGAAATCCCTTCGAACTCTGAGATTTGGTTGTTCTCTAATACTCCAATTTCTAAAAGAACTATTTATAATCCTCTTTATTTCTAGAGAAAGTACAACTACAAAAATCTCTTCCCTGCCCTCCTTTGTCCCTAATTCCAGGTGCCACATATGAAAATCTAGAACATTCCGTGTAATGCAAATTAATTTTTAAAATCAAGTTATTAGGATCTAAACATTTTAGAAGGATTAAGCTTTTCTTGAGTGGTCTCCTGGGAGCAAAGAAAGTATTTCTGATAATTTCAGTGTAGGACACAGTCTATTTTAAGTGATTGATAATGTTAAACAACAGTTTTGAGGAAGGGAAGGTACAGGGATAAACTTGCATAATTTTCTGCAGATGTTCCCTGTCTCCTTTCACAGGGTTTCAGATCTCTCAGCTGGTTGTGATCTCCCTGATGGAGCAAGGGGAAGAGTTGTTGGTACCAAATCTTGAGGGCTCCAAGGAGAAAGAGATTTTGAGAAGTTCTTATACAGGTGAGGGACATAGAGGATGGTCTCAGTCCCCAGAACAACCTCTGTGAGATTTTTCATTTTGAATTTTGCTTAAACTGTTAACTAGTTTGCATGACTATTATTTTCATAGTAGGTATAGCTGTGGCTTCACAGTGAGCCCTGTTGTTGTTAATAGATATTGCCCCTCTTCTGTGCTTTGTGGCAATGTATGAATCTGGTTTTACACCAACAGAACCAGCAGGAGTTGTTGCATTTTTTTTTTGTCCAGACCTATGATGGGGAATGTGGGGAATGTCCTACCCATGCAGGTCAGCAAGTCTTGTAATTTTTAATCCTAGTTCCCTGGAATACTGAAGAGTGGATTTCCCATTGCTTTTATCATATAGCTAGTGTATATCAGAGGCAGGAATTGGACCCAGATTTTCCTGACTCCAAAGCTGCCCTATCTACTATGCCATGGTATCTCTTCAGTTGTAATTTACTAGATTAACAGTAATAGCTCACATTTCCTTCAAGAATCAGCTCAAGCACCATTTTCTACACAAAGCCTTTTCTAACTTCCCTCACTACTAATGCCTCCCTACTCCCTCCCGGCTCCCACTGGCACTGAGCACAGTGCTCTGCATTCAGTAGGTGCTTAATTGATGTTTATTGTGTTTTTATTCCCATGACAGAGACTCTCTTTATATTTTCTATTTATTTTTTCAGAGAGTAAGAACAATTTGGAAACTCTTGACCAGAAATACCCTAAGAATGAGGAACCTAAGGACATACCATCAGAGTGGTCTGAGAAAGATGTACCCCCAAACATTGAACATGAGGATACTAAAGAAATTCCATTAGGAAGGAACAAAAGGGTCAGGTTCTGGAGTCTTGAGTGGAAAGATACTCATGAGAATAACTGCAAGACAGAAACTCAGTGGGGGAAACCTATGGGAAAAGAACAGAGTAAATCTATTTCCTGGAAATGGGGCTCCAGAAAAAACATTGACATTACTGTCCCTCAGACACTACCCAAAAGAGACAAATCCCATAAATGTCTTGAATGTCAGAAGAGCTTCAATAACAGCTCTCACCTTCAAACTCATCTAAGGACTCACACAGGAGAAAAGCCTTACAAATGTTCAGACTGTGAGAAATGCTTTAGTAACAGCTCCCATTTGATTCAGCATCAGAGAACTCACACAGGAGAGAAGCCCTATCAATGTAATGAATGTGGGAAAAGCTTTAGCAATACCTCACACCTTATTATCCATAAGAGAATACACACAGGAGAGAAGCCCTATAAGTGTCCAGAATGTGGGAAGAGTTTCAGTAGCAGCTCACATCTTATTCAGCATCATAGATCTCATACAGGAGAGAAACCTTATGAATGCCTTGTGTGTGGGAAATGCTTCAGTCACAGCTATGTCCTAATTGAGCATCAAAGGACTCACACAGGAGAAAAGCCCTATAAATGTCTTGACTGTGGGAAAAGATTTAGTCAGAGTTCCAGCCTTATTCGCCATCAGCGCACACATACTGGTGAGAAACCCTACAAATGTCTTGAGTGTGGGAAAAGCTTTAGTTGTAACTCTACCCTTTTAAAGCATCAGAGAATTCATACAGGAGAAAAACCATATAAATGCCCAGAATGTGGGAAAAATTTTAGCCGCAACTCAAACCTTATTACGCATGGGAAAACACACATGAGAGAGAAGCCCTATGAGAGTACAGAATTTGGAGTAAAGTTGAATCACAATTGTAACTCAGTAGAATGCCAGAGAACTCAGCCAGGAGGAAAAACATATAAGTGTTGTGAATGTGGGAAAAGTTTCAACCTTAGTTCACACCTTATTAGACACCAGAGAATACACACAGGAGAAAAACCCTATAGATGTCCTGAGTGCTGGAAAACTTTCAGTCAAAGCTCTACACTGGTGATCCACCAGAGAATTCATACAGGAGAGAAACCATATAAATGCCCTGACTGTGGGGAAAGTTTCAGTCAAAGCTTTAACCTTATCAGGCACCGAAGGACCCACATAGGAGAAAAACCTTATAAATGTACTGACTGTGAGAAATCTTTCAGTCGTAGTGCCAGCCTCAGTCAGCATCAGAAAAAACACATAAGAGAAAAGCTCTTTCAGTTCCCTGAAGTTGAGAAAAAATTTACTCACGAAGGGACGTAGAAAAGCTTGGGATGGGGGTGGTGTGGGGGGCATATGGACTTCATCTACTCATTTCCAATTCCCAAATCTGTTTCCTCATGATAGGAAGTTTGTTGTAAACTTTTCCTTTTATTGACTCATCACAATTAAGGTCTTGTAAAATCAGTTTACTGTTGAATTTCTTTGGCTTCATTTGACTATCTTCAATACCTCTGGAAAAAAAAAGCTAAGGCCACTCTGCTTAGAAGATGCAAAGACTCAAACCAACTAGGTCACGGATTTTCCCATTGAAAAACAGCACCGAGGATGGAAAGAAAACAGAATTTTTTTATCTAAGACAAGACAGGAATAGTTCAGATTAATCCTAAGAATAAATTTTAATGAAAACATAAACCTCAAATCTTGAAGCTAGACCTTTTGTTAAGTTTGCAATTTTCTCTTGCTCTTTTAGGTGCAGAAAAACTATTTGTCCCAGATAGTTTGGAGATAAAATGATCCTGCTGAAGAATAGAGTGGTGGCCCTGGCTTTTTGTGGGGAATGTGCTGAGGCAAAAAACAATAGTTTAAACTTAAGCAGGCTTCTTCCTTGAAAATTAACTTTTGTAGAGTGTGGCACAAAGTGAATCCTAAGTGAGCACTAGGTAAATCTTATCTGACCAGTAAAGATTTGTCACAAGACTTTAGGAAATCTAGAACTAAGGGTTTTGTTCTCTTTGAGATCAGACAGTCTAGAGCAGCAGTGTAAGAGAGTGTTGGAGAACAATGGATTTTGAAGCAAGATATTCCAGGGTATTTTTGTCAGTGGGGTCGTTAACCTATAACCTATTGCGATCCCCTTGTCACTATGCCCTAGGATCCCTACCATAAAAGAAGCAAGATTAGGAGCCAGGGCTACTGAATTCTATTCTTGTAAACTAAGTAATTAATAACTAGTTTTTCCCTCTGTGTGCCTTGGTTTTCCTATTATGTAGGGATTCAGTGAAATTGGGAACTAGGTTCTCATAGCCAGCTCAATGACTTAGTGTCAAATGGACAGAATTCCATTAGTATTGCAGTAAGTACTACTTGTGTCAGGTCCTAATAGTGTTTTATTTTTGGCCTTCTTAGGGAAGAGGCAGAGAACCTAATATTTTCCCATATTCTTCCTTGTCCTAAATAGGGACTTTGTATATTAAGTACTCTCTTCCCTAAATCCTTGCCCATCTGTTGCAAATGAGTAAAAGAGAAATGTAGGTAAGGGGCCCCCAGTTTATCTCTTAGGATTTCCCAATATATTTAAAAGGGATTGATGTGAAAATTTAAAATTTGGCAGAAGGGAATTGAACTGTAGCATTCCCAAAGAAACCATTCCTTTTGTGGTGTTGAAATGCAATGGACCCATGGGGACAACTGAGTTGCCTTGGAATTGTTGCATCCTCCCCTCTCACTGCAATGCTGTTGATACTGGGTAGTGACTGTATTATGATTTTTTTATTGTTAAATGATGAAAACTATAGCAAAAAACAGTCAAATAAAGATATTTAAGACATGTTTCTTTTTGGTAAACTTGCTGCCCTGCACGGGATGGGGAAGTATTGGTGGAAATGAACAATTTTCTCAGTTCCCATGATCTACTCCTTCCTTCTACCTTAGCTTTAGGGTAATAGGGCTGTTCAGACCTATTACCCAGAAGTCCTCATTTTTATGATCAAGCATCCTAAAATTCCTTTATCTAATCATAACCTGCTATCATACCTTCTCCCTATGTACCACTTTAGACGACCTCTGCTCTCTTCACTCCTCAGGCCCTTCCAGGGTATCACCCCTGTTTTGGATGAACTTGCTTCCCATTTAACCCTATAATTGAGCAGTTCAGCATTACTCTGTTCTACTCTTGAATCCATTTCTCCTTTGTTCTACTGCTGATCATGCTTTGCCAAATGCCAACCCTGGTTTACTTCTACCATTCACCTTTTATAATCCAATTTATATTGGAAGAAGTGATATAATTATGCTGATTGATCCATTACAAGCTTTTTTTTTTTCATTTTAACTGGGTCCTCACTGAAGGAGATAATTCTTTTACTTCTCCCCAATTGATTTTCTATGTCATTTCACACACTGCCGTCCCAAACTTTTCCTTCTCTCCTTAAGTTTCTAATTCCACTTCTCTTCCAACCATCTCAGCAAAAGATATCAGAGTTCGTGCCTTACTTAGAAAATAAAGATGATTCTCTTTACCACCTTACACCTATCAGGTTGGCTAATATGACAGAGAAGGAAAATGATAAATGTTGGAGAGGATGTGGGAAAATTGGGACACTAATGCTTTGCTGATGGAGTTGTAAACTGATCCAACCATTCTGAAAAGTAATTTGGAAGTATGCGCAAAGGTCTATAAAACACTGCATACTACTAGGTCTGTATCCCAAAGAGATTTGATAAGGGAGGAGGAGGCAAGGACCTATTTGTACAAAAATACAGCAGCTCTTTGTGATGGCAATATATAATTCTGCTCTCTACTAAACCTATTTTATTATATATCAAGGTGCATGTGTTTATGTGAAGGCACAAAGCTTTCAGAAGATAGAAACCCAAGGGACATACTTTTTAGTGGGGGTTTAGGGCTGGTGGTTCTACAATGAAAAAAAAATTTGCCTGGGGCAGACAAATGCTTAGTCTAAACTCTAACAGTGAAACAATTGAACTAAGATCTTAGCTGATGGATTTAGAACTGGAAAGGACCTTAGCAATCATGGATCAACTGAGGCCCAGAGAGGTAAAGGTCATATAGGTAACAAGTGACTGAGTTGATATTTAAATGCAATGTAAAAAAATGATGTATCATTTTAAAATAAAATTTTTTAAGTTTATCCATACCAGGCAGGTGTAATGACCTGTTCAAGAGTGGCAGTAGGAATAGAGGACAGAGGCAAGAGATGTTACAAAAATGAAATCCATACCTGGTAAATGATCAGGCAGGAAAGGGCGGGAGAGAGAAAAATTAATGGTAACCCCAGGTTAATAAACATGGGAGATGATGTTTGATCTAAAGGCAGACAATTGCTTCAAGGTAAAGCAGGCTCGTAGCTTCCCACTGTTGTAAATTAACACCACCGCCCACCATGTGCAAGGGCATGCCCATTATTCTATACACACATACATGTGCACACACATGGCTTTAAGAGCCCATCATGGCTTCTGGTGCCAAGATGGCAGAGTTAGGAAGGAACCCTCTGAAGCCCTCCCAAATTCCCCTCCAAACAACTAGGAAACCACCTCAGAATTGATTTAGAAGCAGGGAAACAGCTTACTGGCCCGGCAGGAGAGGTCTCTCACTGGGTTGAGAAGGGAACAAGGTCCAAGAGCAGCAGCAGCAACAGCCAGCCTCATAGGAGGGGCCTTGCAGCAAGGCTTCAAGCCTGGGGCAATCCACCAGTGAGGCCCTATCCTCCGGCAAGCCAGCAGTCCTATATAGAAGTGAGCAGTCTGTGTAATGCAGCAAGGCCCCACACCCAGCACAAACACCAAACAGGCCTTAACCTCACTGCTGACCACTAACGAAATCCCACCCCAGGACTGGCCAACAGTGAGACCCAACCCCTGGGGCCTCTCAGCAGAGAGACCTTGTTTCCATAGCAACCCAGCAGCAGGGCCCCACCCTTGGAACAGGCCAGCAGCTAAACTCCATATACAGGGAGGCCCCACCTCCCAGCACAAGCCAGAAGAGAAGCATATCCTCCAGAGAACATAAGCAACTAAGCCTTAAAGCCCAGTGAAAGCCAGCAGTGAGACCCACAGCCCTAGCACAAAACACTTGGGACAGTGCAGGACCAGAGCTTAACTCTCACATAAAAACACCAAATCACACACACAAATAAAAAGGCAGAAAAAATGAGCAAAAAACAAACAAAAAAAAGAGTCTAACTATAGAAAGTTATTATAGTGATAGGGAGGATCAAAGCATAAATTTAGAAGAGGACAATAGTGTCAAAATTGCTACATGTGAAGCCTCAAAGAAAAATCTAGTTTGGTCTCAGGCCCAAAAGGAATTCCTGGAAGTGCTTATAAAGGCTTTTTAAAAGGCAAATTAGAGAAATAGAAGAAAAAATGGGGAAAAAATGAGAGTAATACAAGAGAATCATGAAAAAAGAGTCAATAGCATGGGAAAAGAAATACAAAAAGTTGTAAAAATATAAATTGCTCATAGGTAGGCTGAGCCAGTATAATAAGAAAGACAATTCTACCTAAATTTATTTATTCAGTGCCATACCAATCAAACTGTCAAAAATTTATTTTATAGAGCTGGAAGAAATAGTAACAAAATTCATCAAGGATGTCAAGGGAATCAGTGGAAAATAAATTCAAAAGAAGGTGGTCTAGCCATACTGGATCCCAATTATCAAAACAATTTGGTACTGGCCAAGAAATAGAGTGGTGGATCAATGGAATAGATTAGGTACAAATTACATTGTAGTAAATGACCATAGTAATCTAGTATATGATGAACCCAAAGAGCCAAGCTTTTGGAACAAAAACTCATTATTTGACAAAAACTGCTGGGAAAAGTAGAGAACTGTGGCAGAAACTAGGTATAGACCAATATCTCACACCATATACCATGATAAGGTCAAAATGGGTATATAATTTGCACATCAAGGGTGATACCATAAGCAAATTAAGGGGGCATAGAATAGTTTATCTGTCAGATTTATGGATAAAGAAATAATTTAGGACCAAAGAAGATATAGAGAGCATTACAAAATATAAAATAGATAATTTTGATTACATAAAACTAAAAAGTTTTTGCATAAACTAAACCAATGCAACCAAAACTATAATGAAAGCAGAAAATGGGGGTGGGTGATGGCGAATTTTGCAACAAGTGTCTTTGATAAAGGCCTCATTTCTCAAATACATATAGTCAAATTTATAAAAATGCAAGTCATTCCCCAATTAATATGATAATAATAACATAATTAATATAATAATGATAAATGGTTAAAGGATCTGAACATGTAGTTTTCTGACAAATCAAAGGTATCTATAGTCATATAAAAATGGTCTAAAGTACTTGATCAGAGAAATGCAAATTAAAACAACTCTGAGGCACTACCTCACAGCTATCAGAGTAGCTAATATGACAGAAAAGGAAAATGATAAATGTTGGAAGGGATGTGGGAAAATGGAGACAGTGTTGGTGGAGTTGTGAACTGATCTAGCCATTCTGGAGAGCAATTTGGAACTATGCCCAAAGGGCATAAAACTGTGAATACTCTTTGATCTAGTAATACCACTGCTAAGTCTATATCCCAAAGACACCCAAAAAAAGGGAAAAGGACAATTTGTACAATTTTGTACTATTGGTACAAAAATGTTTATAGCAGCTTTTTTTTTGTGATGGCTAAGAATTAGAAATCAAAGGGATGCCCATCAACTGGGGAATGGCTAAACAAACTGTGATAATATGATTGCAGTGGAATATTAATGTGCTGTAAGAAATGACAAGCAGGATGATTTCAGAAAAACCTGGCAAGACTTATATAAACTGATGCATAGTGAAGTGAGCTGAACCAGAACACCGTACACAGTGCAGCAACATTGTGCAATTATCTGCAAAGCCTATGACAAAATGTTCCTGGTGGATTCCCATCAGCAGCCAAAGTCTTGCCTTTACTTAATGCTGCAAACAATCTGGTCCACCTTCCTCTTATTCCTTATGCTGATTTCTCTAATTTTACATCGGATCATATTGCTCTCATGGAGGAATATCACACCTGGCAGTGCTTTGGAAATTCTCAAAAGTTTTCCGTCAGTATCCATTTGTTATTTCTATAGCTGCAAAAAAAAAAAAATCATTATTCAGAGGGACTCAGAGCAACAGATGGTAAGCATTGCCAGGCACAGTCTGGTGGACAAAGTTTCTCCAAGGCAAAGACCTGACATCAATAAGCTATTTTTTTTTTCAATTAAAATTTATTTAAACTGAAATACTAAAACTTAAATGCAAAACAGGAAAAGAAAAAAAATGTGCACAGCAGAATGTAAGAGAGGATTCAAAATATATAGCAAAAAATTTCCATTTCAAGAAAGCCTATATAATAAATACTATACATTGTGTTGGGAGCTGTCTTTGCTGCCTTGTAAGTTTTCTTTTGTTCTCTGCTAGGTACTTTTTACTTTGTTCTTTTTTTCCCCCTTCTTCCCCCCACCCAAGGCTACAATTAAAAATGTATGTGCCTGTGTGTGTGTGTGTGTGTATGTAATAGCTATTTCCAAATACGAAAGTAAGAACACACTGTGTTAGTGATTGACTCAGTAAGTTGACAAGGAAACGAGGAGCCTTGAAAAAGAAACTCAAAGTGACATTTGTGAGGGAGGCTGGCCTTGATACGGGTGGTTTTCTTCTCTTGATTCTCCAGATCTTTCACCCAGACCACGGCATGTTTGCTCATTGGGTTAGCAGCTTTAAATGTAATAACCACTCTGAATTTCGGTTGGTTGGAATTCTCATGGCACTAGCTGTATATAACAGCATTACCTTGGATATT